AGAGTGTGTGTGTGTGTGAGAGAGAGTGTGTGTGTGTGTAAAATTTTTTATTTATTTAAAAAATTGTGTGTGTGTGTGTGTATATATATATAACATCGTAAATAAATATATATTTATATTTACTTACAGTATGCATTATGTGTACAGTTATCAAAAAAAACTCAAACCTGCTGTTAAAAGGCTAAAATGCATGTCTCCACCTCAAATTGAGGATGTGGTCAATCATTCAGTTCAGTATGGTGAAAATCTGCTGAAATGTCACACATAAAAGAACATTTAAAAAGTTATAAATGTCTTTCTCCTCAGTGAGCGGGAATAATACACTACGTTGATGAACTGAAACCCAGAGAGTATTTATTAAAACGAGATGTTTAAAAAGTTATGAAACAGCTTCTAAGAGAAGTCTGTCAGCTACTACTGTGTGTTTTTATGATTGTGGGTGATACACACGGGGCTCATTTAATAATTCAGTAGAAAAAGGTGCACTGTAAAAAATGAGAAGTAGATTTACTTAATTTTTATTTTGCAAGTTTTTGCACACATACATTTTAAGTAAAATTTAAGCATTGAATTAAGTAAAATCTACTTAACTAAGTTAGGTAAAATTAACAAAGGAAATAAGTACATTTAACATGGCCAGTTAAGAGTTTGATGAGTAATTTCTACTTTATTTTGTTAAATATGCTATACTCAAGTACATTTCCCTCAGTTACAGTTTATAAAATGTACTCAAACAATGTAGCACTGGAAAACAACCATGCTATTAAAGCATGTGGTTCACTTGCAAACATGTAAGAAAGTAGGCAGTTTGTTATCCTTTGAAGATAATATGTCCACTCAATATAATTATCACCCAAATGAACACAGATACCTCAATACTTGGTACACCATACACAATGACATACTCAAGTACATTTCCCTCAGTTACAGTTTATAAAATGTACTCAAACAATGTAGCACTGGAAAACAACCATGCTATTAAAGCATGTGGTTCACTTGCAAACATGTAAGTAAGCAAGTAGACAGCTTGTCATCCTTTGAAGATAATAAGCCCACTCAATATAATTATTACCTATAATTGAACACAGAGACCTCAATACTTGGTACACCATACACAATGACAGTAACAATCAGTGGACAGTGTTTGAGTATAAATGGGTCATTTTGAGTAGAAAATTAACTCCAGATATCACAAAACAGTAAGTTACTAAACCTAACGACAAAAGCAACCATAAAACAGTGTAAATACAACTCGAAAACAGTGAACATTTGAACCTTTTAAAGGTTAGAAAATGTACTGTATTTTTTTTATTCTTGCCTGAACTAAATTATTTAATGTAGAAATTACATTTGTTTTTATGTAGTATTTACTTCACCGCAAAATCCTTTTTATCAGTGAAAGAAACACAATACTGACTGACTGGAGGAGAAGAGGAGCTGAGAGAGTAAAATTATTTCCTAACGTCAGGCTGCAGGCATGTCACACACACACACACACACACACACACACACACACACACACACACACACAGTCAGATTACAGACAGCAAACAGCCGCCGGGGAAAGCTCTCACAGCTCCAAATGTCACAGGACAGAACGACACAATGTAGCGACCCTTCACAGCTTCCCAGAGTTTATGATACATTGTAACGTTCCTTCATTATAGAACTCTTGATACATTGTATCAACCCTTCACATGAGAAAAAAAGTACAACAATGTACCAATATGTACTTTTAAAGTACTAATGCGTATTTTAAGGTACTAATATGTTGCACTTAGGGGTAAATAATGTACCTTTTAGATTTTTTTACCTTAGGATCCCACCCCAGCAACGTCTTTGCACGTTTTTTCCAAGAGTGTAGAGATACAATGTAGCGACCTATTGGTCTGATTAAACTCTCAAATGTACCACCCTGAACATAACCTCCAAGTAACCCTTTGAGAACTGATCATTATGATCAGACATATGAAATATACTCACTGTAAGTCGCTCTAATGTTTCCTGACAGCTCCTCTGAGCTTTCTGCATGAAATGCACCATGAAATATCCTCATGATTATGTTGAATACTTCCATACTTCCATGCGCAACTCTCATACGCATTCTAGATATGCAATATCTCTAGATCAACATGCAATATCCTTTAAATTAACCCCTTAACCCCTATATTGTATCTTTGATTCAATACACTCACTATAACAGCTCACATAACAACTCCCCACTATTTTTCCAGACAGCTTATAAAAAGCATGCAACATCCTCAGATTTAAAGGGGTCATATGATGCTGCTAAAAAGAACATTATTTGGTGTAATGAAATGTGTTTATGTGGTTTAAGGTTAAAAAAACACATTATTTTCCACATACTGTACATTATTGTTTCTCCTCTATGCCCCGCCTTTCTGAAACGCCTCGATTTTTACAAAGCTCATCGGACTGAAAAAGCGAGGTGTGCTGTGATTGGCCAGCTATCCAGTGCGTTGTGATTGGCTGAATAACTCAAGCGTGAGACGGAAATGTTATGCCCCTCACCATACTGTGATGCCGTCTCCCGGAGCGACAAGACAAAAAACATGAAAACCCATTATAAACGAGGCATACGTTGCATCCAGTGGGGACATAAATTACGGATTATAATGACTTATACGAAACCAAACAAAACCATGTCTGCATTTGTGATCAGAAATGACAAACAAGCACTAACGTTACCCTACACTGCTCAAAATTTGCGTTTGAATCATCAGTGGCAAATCCTTTAAAT